TGTGGAATCCGGTGTACGAGCTCCTACAGTGGGTATCAAAATCGCGCAAGCGTGAAGAAGGAATCACGGGTACCCATATTTTGAAGGTGGATTTTACGATGATAAGGCAGCTCATTGGAAATTAAGCCAGAGATGGTCAGTGGTGCACGAAAAAGAAACTGAGAAAATGGCCAGAACCCGAGAAATGGGACCCCTTCCTTGCCCGTTGATTTGCGCATTGATGCGACTCTCATCGGTGCTGCCCTCTTCAACGCTAACGCTCTCTCTGCTGAACGGCTAGAGACTCACCATCAGACACAAGACGACGCGAGAGGGGGCGTACCGCGCCAATAGTACGCCAATTGCGCCGTGGGAAGGCCATGCTAGATCGACGGAGGCATATCCTTTGCTGCAAATAAGTGTCGCTCTGCACTCCATGGAGATCCCTCTGCCTCTCTTGTGTATCGAAAATGCGCGCATTTGGAGCAATACGGCGAGAGAGAACATAAAATCGGATGGACTCCTCTCCCCCTCCCTTTGCCATGTCGTGGAATTCAGCATCTGGCTGGAAAAGTCAAGCTATCCCCGAAAAAAAGATCAAGCCAGGTCGACAGCTAGAAGCAAATCTCGAGCCTTTACGTGAGACAGTAGCGAGATATTGGGGCGAAATTTCTTCTGTCCGCCCATGAACTCATGAGCTAACTTGTTCCCAAATTATCTGAGCAACACTCACGGTTAGATCTCTCACTTTGAGTGAGCGGTTAGAATTTTATGATAGCTTAAAACTGACTCACTGTTGTTGGAGGATACACTAGTGGATTACCTCTGTAAATTGTGTGGTGCAATAACGAGCATACCTCACCAGGAGAGTAGTTCAAACTGTAGCGAGTTCAAAAAACGGTTCTTGTTCTTTTAGGTGTGCCTTTACGGCGCATAGAAATGACGTATATTTCTTCTAAACGGCTCTGAGAATGCCAAAACGGCGTGGAAATAATGATTGTAGCTCGATCACCACTAAAGACCATTTTTCCATTCCTCTGGTTTACATTTCTTCTGTTCATATATGCCTAAACTCATCTCTGAACGAACAACTATCAATATGCAACTATTCAATTTTAAGTTTTGTCGAGCACATTAAAATTACCAAAATGTTACCTCTAATCGTAAGAGAAATTTCACGCTCTTGTTTGCCAATCTAGGACTCGCCCAGGCTCTGTTCAGTGATGCCCGCTTTGGCGAAGAAATGCAGAGGCGAAATAAAATGAAATATGTATGGCGACTAAAGGCGGAAGTGGTGTAGTGGCAAGTGGCACGCTTACCACGCGAGCGGTCCGGGGATCAAATCCTGGGTCGTGAGTCGCCCGGGCCAACCAAGCCTTCCATCCCTCCGGGGTCGGTTAATTGGTACCAGACTTGTCTGGGAGGATAAAAACACTGACTTGTACATCGGCCCCCGCAAGTCATTGTATAGGCCACATCGCATTCAAACGCCACTACGAATGTACAAATGGAAGTAGAATGCGTGCCGCATCCCAAAAAGGGATTGATCAACGGCAAATGCTTTATCCTTTATTATCCAAAAGGGCATTATCCAGCGGCTAAAACGGAGCTTTTGCTGTAATAAATAGAGGCCATCCATTCTGAATCATTGCCACATTTGATGACGCACTTTTTCCGTTCCGACTGTTGATTCCGCGCTTTAGATATAGGATGAGATGTCCGCAGTATACATATATGATAGTGCAGCACGACTACACACGATTTGGAACAAAAATCAAACCCCACCAGAACTCCAATCAAATTTCCAAACTTTCGCTAAAATTCGTAGGAAATCTTCCCATAAATTTCTCGAAAATTTACGTCTCACAACTATTCTATTCCATCGTTCAAGGGTACACTACTAGTTTCACCCAATACCCATTCAGAACTATTGAATCCAATCCGGTGGGATCCAATATATCTCTACAAGTAATGGGTGCAACAACATAGTAGCGAAGAGCGAAACTTCCAATGAGACTCATTGTCAGCGGGAACATTAACACTGCACATCAGCCCCAAGACTTTATTCATTTGCGAGCCGTATTCGGTCACACTAGCGGTTCGAAGCACTATTTATAGGGTGCATTTCCTGCCTGCAGCGTATCTACTCTAGGACGTCCCAGATGTAGACCTCCTAACGACCGTGACGTCTTATTTTTTCAAGTTGAGTTTTGTCCGCTAGGTCTCACAGATTACAGCCCAATTTACTTCAGAAAGAAGCAAAGGGATATGAGAATCGATTCTAAGACTCTATGAGTTTCATGAATCCTGATAGCAAGCATAGAGCTATTCTAGAGTTTAAAGGCAAATTCCGGGATTTCTGGCGAAATTTAGGTTTTCCCCGTCAAATATGCAGCAGTACGCAAGGGCAGACCATGTGCAGAAGTGGCGGGGCGTTTTGATAAGGTTTAGGCGCTAGGGCCTAGGTTGGAGCATTGGCGCCGCCCCAACCCCATTGAGCCCGCCCACCGTCCTACGTGATCTTCCAAACAACCTAGATGTTAAGCCGTTGTTTGGAAAGTCGTAGGGGAGTATTTCAATTGCGAAAATCAACATCAAAGCCTATCTTACGACCATTTTGGAGAACGTTGTCATCATTCTAGTGAGAAGAAAAAATTTTAAGATAGGAAGCAAACAAAAAAAAGCACAGGAAAATAGAAAAAATAGGGAAACTAGAAAAATCAGTTTTCATTGCTGACTTTTTGTGGCCGTGTCGGTTGATGGCACAAAGCCAACAGTTGCTGTAGACATGTCCAAACACGTAATTTTCCCAGCCCTGGTTCGTAAGCGACTAACGAAGAGGAATTTCTAATTTTGGAGTTCTTTGGAGGTATTTCCTGCTTTTTTCATTACCTTCGATCAACTTAGCATCCAGCTCTTCACACTCGAACAGGTGAGTCCCTCGTTTTATCCCGGAGTTTTAATTTCTTCTCTAACCACAAGTTGAATGAACAACACCGTCAGTAAAAAGTGAGACATGTTGCGTGGCACCGTTGGTGCGTAGCCAAAGCTTCTACGAGTTACCATTGGGACAACCATATCTTACGGTTTTGTGAGACTGTGAGACAGATAGGCACGCAGTCTGAAGAAACATTGGGTGTGAGGCTAGAGCACGGACGCGTGAGACGAGATAGTATAGCAGGCAAGCGAAGCAGCGTATATCCGCAACAGTGGGCGTTGGCTGACGTAAATCTCGGACAGATTTTTTTTTATTCTTACATTTGACCATTGTTAGTGCACAACTACACTTTGGCTTATCTCTAGTTGATTACTGATACACCTGTGTCGTAAATAAGTAAAATAAAATGAAACTCACACTGCCTTTAGCGTATGTTTTGCGTGAGAAAATAGCCCTACTTGCAGTAGAGTTCGAAGCGATCGCTATAGCCTCGTCGCTTGTACAAATATTTCCCAATCGCTATTCATTTCTTCTCATTCAAGGCCCTACAAGGGAGGTCTTTCAGGGCAAGGTGCGCTTTTTGGAAACGGTTTAGTACATGTTGTAGGGACGCATGTATGGACCACAAAACCATGTTTCGTTTTCGCTGAACGGTTTTAGTAGTACCAAAAAAGTGGTGAATAATACCCTTGATGGTTCAATCCCCGCGGCGACTAAATTTTGCAATCAAGGTTGGCGGCCACTTGTTGGCTTCAAAATGGTCCTGACGATGAATATGACATCTGATTTTGACATTTAGCGCGATTTGGCACCAAACCGTAGGCGCCAACCCAAATGCAAAATTTAGTCGCCACGGGGGATCGAACCATTAACAGTATTATTCACTTCTTTTTTGGTA